GCAAACATCGTCATGCTGGAAGCAGCCACCAGAGAATATATGTAGGTACACTGTAGGGCTGCCACAAACCATTATTTTGATAGTCGACTAGTCACTGATTATTTTTGCAATTAGTCGACTAATCAGATCATGCATCCATTGGAAGTAAAACGTAACGCTTATTGCACCAGCATGCATCTGCTCTTATATAACTACCATTAGCTTACAGCTTTAAGTGTTTAAGGTATGTGCTAACTAAAAATGAAGACAAGATGATAGTTTATTAAATTTTAATGAAATCTGCAGACTGTTTTGGTGGAGTTTAATAAACTCAGCCGTCTGCTCCTTGCTATCTAAAATATAACAGGACACCAGAGTATATTCTCGAGCATCTCACACTTCTGATAATCAGTTGTCTGCTTGACGATTATTCAGCTGTGTAAAAACTGTAACTTTAATCTCAGCCAAACCGATTTACTCAGGAACAAATAAAATACTAAAAAAAAAAGCCAAACAATAACATTTTTAAGTTATCTAAGTGACTTATATATCATGTTTAACCTGAGTAGCAAAAGACGGCGGTAGGTTTGAAAACAATTTGCCAGGAGTCCAGTGTTCTTACCGGCTCTAGTGAGCCTTGAACCCCGGCTAGCTATCGAGCTGGTGGGTAACAGACGTCTCCGAAAATGTCGGAGCGCTTTTGAAAATATGTGGTGTCTTGATAAATTGAGCAAATATTTGAAGTTTACACAGCTACATTCTCGCCTGAAAATATGTTAAACGTTTATTGACCCAGAAGATAGATCCATGTTTTCATGTTGTTTTATGCCAAATTATGACCCTCCCATCTAAATATTGTGGAAGAATTCAAGAGTCATCAGACTAGGAAACATTTTTTCGATCTTCTAATGTCCAATTTTGGTGAGTTTGTGTGGACTGTAGCCTCAGTTTCCTGTTCTAAGCTGATGGGAGTGGCAACTAGTGTGGTCTTCTGCTGCTGCTATCTACTTCAAGGTTTATGTGTTGTGTATTCAGAGACACTTTGGAGCACACTTTGGTTGGCATTTATGCCCAGAGAACTGCCACTAACTGGATACTTCCTCTTTTCACACCATTTTCTGCAAGCCTTAGAGATGGTCATATTAGAAAATCCTAGCAGCAGTTTCTTAAATACTAAGTCCAACCCATCTAACACCAAAGTAACTTAAATCTGCTTTCTTCCCCATTCTGATGTATGGCTTGAACTTCAGCAGGTTAATAGACCATTGACTATTGATTGACCATCACAGGCCTAAATGTGATGAGTTGCTACCATGCAATTAGCTGATTAGACATTTGTGTTAACATGCTTGCATCCTTGCAATAATTTGGGGGTAGGACAAACAACAAATAAATAAGCTGTGATCTAATACAAACAACTATAATTTCAACAACTGTAAGTGTAATCATTTTTTGATTAACATAATTTGATAAAAAGGTACACCACAATAAACATTAGTTGCTAAACGAGAACTAGCATATTTAAACATGCAAACAACACAATAAACAACACAAGCAGATTACATTTTCTCTCATTTAGTATATTTTAATCTGTGATAAGAAATCTTCCAGATAAAACACTATTTGAACACAACCAAAGTCTTAATTCTTTAGGGGAAAAAATTTAAAGGAAGTCAAAATTCAAACCTTTTTTTTTTATTAGACATATCTGATTTTTTAAATTATTTTATTTCAACCAATTATGAATCACAACCACAAAATATATGGTGTACCGGGATCTAAAAACTAATGTGTAATCTTTGTTGTATGTTGTGTTCACACAGAGAAATCTATGAGAAAAAAACAGTAACCTACTCTACTTACCAAGCTTTCTTGTCCCTGCAAGACCAGCAAGTGTCCAGATTCCACAATTGTGAGGACAATTTCAGGTTTGTTGTCCTTTGCCTCAAGTACCTGATGAAGAGAAAAATATTGAATTAGTCATTGCTTTTCCTAGAAGTAACTAGATATATGCATTTCTAAAGGATGCTTTTTTTAAAATCAATAACATTGTTTTTTTTTACTGATTAAGATAAATAATGTAGCTTATTAATATAACAATGACAGTAATGTTTTTTGTTTCTGCTACATTTTAAGTCTTGGTTCAACAGCCCAAAGGTATGTGTACCTAATACAATTTCATGAAAATTAAAAATGTTCTTAAAAGAGATGCACTACCCAATATGGCTCATGAGTATCTGGAATAGCTTATTATTATTATAAAGTTAGTCAGATAAACTCTTGTAATTCAATGTTCACAACTTGCCTTTTCACTGAATTTTACAATTTGCAATTGCAATCTTGTGTGATAAATGTAAATGCAACTTAGCTCAGTTTAAATAACATGCTTTGACTCAATGTCTCTGAGCTGCCCTATGATATAGATGTACTTTGGTTTCATTCATTGGTGTCATTAAGAAATACACAGCTCTAGCTTGCCATCTAGAGTCTGGTGCAGTTAATGAAAGAAAACAGCACAAGGAATGGAGTTTTTCAAACATGAAAAAACAAAAACAAATGCAGAAACAGAAACAGAAACAAAAAGATAATTATACAACCAGTAGGTACAACCAGTGAAATACTTTTATACTTTGAATAGAATTATTTTTAAAAATGCAGTAATTATCTAAATAAATAGGCTTTTTCTACCATCAGCTGTTTGTTACTTCATTTTCATGTTTAATACCGAAAGCATAAACAGCCCAAGTACATGCTCTATTTGATTGGGAATCTGGAGAGTCTGGAGTCTGGGTCAATGCCTTGGGCTATTAGTTATGCTCCTTGAGTTCTTCTTCAGCAGTTTTTGGAGTGTGGCAATAGGCACTGCCAGGCTGCAAACAGGAGGGTCTATTGCCAAGAGGGGTTGCTTGGTCTTTCGGTAGGTGGTTCCTGTCAAGTAACATCCATGAATTGCAGCACCCCTTGTTTCCTTGCAGAAACACTGATTTTAATGTTGCGGCTAATATGTCTATATTCCTACAGAGACAACATTAGAGCAAAAAGAAAATTAATGTAAGATATGGTGCAGTTGTAGTGTCTCTGTGCCTCAGCACTGCAAGACGTAACCCAAAGTACCTCCTGCTACTAGATAGCATAATGAAGGTAGTTTTAATGTTGTTTTATGCTGCAACTCATAGAAATTAAGGAAAGGAACTTTGAGTTAAGTTATTGTTCTATTTTTAATCTGTTCCCATAGATCTGATTTTATGTCTTGAAGGACATGTGACTAAGTTTTTATACCACACAATTATATGAATATCAAAACTGAATTTAAATTAGGGAAGAACTAAGTAAACCATCAAACAAAGGTGCTCCCAGTCAGCACATATTCCATCTGCTATAAAGTGGAAAGCCAAATACTGTAAATCATTTTTTTCCCTAGTTCAAAAAAGATCTTTGATGGTCGACTATGTAAAATATGTACAGAGCCCTAAATCAAAGCAGTATATAAAAACTTTTCAAAGTTGCTTTTTCAAATATGTAATCTCATTTATATTCATACAAAACAAAAAAAATATATTTATCCATAAATTCATGTTAGTATATACAATGCTGTTAAAAAGTATTTTTTCCCACCTCCAGATATTTATTTACTTAGTGTTTGTCACACTGACATGTTTCAGGTATTCAAAGACATTTTAATATTAGAAAAACATAACCAGAGAAAATGCAAGACATACTTTTTAAATAGTAATTTTATAAACCAGGAAAAACCCTCCAATGTCATTTTTTATGCATTTATGCATCTGAATCAAATCTAAATCTGGATTCTGACAAGCCCACTCCAAAGCCATTCAGTGGTAAACTTGCTGGTGTGTTTCGGACCATTGTCCTGCTGCATAACCCAAGTGCCCTTGAGCTTCAGGGCACAAACTGATGGACCGAGGGGTTTCTGGTAGAAAACAGAATTCATGGTTCCATCAACTAGACGAGCCTTTATGGTCTTTATGGTCCGCAGTGATTTTTTTTTCCACCTTGGAAGCTTAACTACGGTAAGTGAAGCCTGCAGTTCTTTAGATGTTCTTATGGGTTCTTTTCTGACCTGGATGAGTCTTCAGTGCACTCTTGGAGTCATTTTGGTAGCCCAACAATTGTGGATAATGACTCTCACTGTGGTTTGCTAGAGTACCACAACCTTAGAAAACACCACCTGGGTCTGGGTGCAGTTCCCCCTCCAGGGGCAAGGGTACCTAGACCCGGTTCGTAGAGTACGCTTGGGGAGTGTGATCGTGTGTACAGCGTCTCTTTATGTCTGTCTCCACGTTGGTTGAGTGTGGAGTAAGTGCATATGAGAGCATGAGGGTGGGAATGGATGTTTGTATCTGTGTGTGCCTGTATGTCTGTGTCTATATGTCAGGTTGGGTATCAGACGCCACCTCTCTGGGGACATCTCAGGCCCTCCAAGGTTTGGAGGCCTATCTCCCCCTACCACCACTTCCCCTGCCAGTGGCGGACTCCCTCAGACATCGGTGCGTTGGTGGTTCTTTGTGTCTGGGGATGGGCGTCCAGGTACACACCGGCTCACTCCTTGGCGGCCGCTTATCGGGGCCTGGAGCCTGGGGCTCGCTCGGGCCACTTCGGAGGTGGGGTGCCCCCGGCCTCTCGGCCTGGGGCTCGGTCACTCAGGCACAGCTGGCTGCCGGCGGAGCTCACGGGCGCGTCACTGCAACTCCCCCTGGCTTCTGCTCCGCGGCTGCTGAGTGAGCCCTCATCTGGGACTCTCCTCAGCTCTTTCTGGGACAGTGGCGCGGCTGCCCCTCTGTTGGTCTTCCTTGGTCTCTTGTGTTCTGGGGGCCTCTGGATGTCTGGAGTTTTGATCTCCTCCATACCTGCTTCATGCCCTGGAGGACGGGGCTGTGGCCCCCCCACACCCTCTAGCAGATCATTACATGAAGGAACCTTTTAAAAAAACAAGCGCGTCCATGCTCACAGGTGTACACACGGGTGATCACACCCACAAACTACACCCTTTTTGGCTCCTACCTCAAAGCACACTGTGTTCTGTTGATCTTATGTGCTGCACAATAATGTTTAATATTTAGTATTTACTGTCATATTCCCATATATCATTGTGATGTTGTTTATTCTATTACTCTTGTTCTCTTCTGCTTGTTTTCTTTTTTCTTTCTCAGCAGGTGATCCAGGTGATTGATATATGCATTTTTTTTTCTTTCTGCCCGTTCTGTTGGTTTTTGTTTTTGCCCTTCTCCCCCGTCCCTCTTCTCAGCTGTTTCTCTTTCCCTCTTTCTTTCTCCCCTTCTTTCCCCCAGTCAAGTCTGTCCCGTATTCAGTAAGTGAAAATAAAATAAACAATAAAAGGTGAATCAAATGGACCATTACGGCAAGGCTGGGATGGTCAATTTGGTAAAGTAAATCCGTTGGGCATCTTTCTTTGCCTTTAGACAACAATTCTGATGGCAAAAGAGCCAAACGGGACAGGCAAAAAAGAAAAGAAAAAAAAGAAAAAGCTTTTTAATACTTTTCAGACTTATGGATGTCAATGATTTTGTTTCTCATTTACTCTGGAGTATCTTTAGATTGTGGCATGATGTGTGGCTTTTTAAGATCTTTCAGCCTGCTTCACTTTTTCAGACAGGTTCTATTTAAGTCTAATTTTTTTTTATTCAGCAAGTCTGACAGTAATCAGACAGTAATCAGACCTGGCTAGTGTAATTGAATTCAGCTTAAAAATTAAATCATTATTTAAAAACTGCATTTCCTATTTACTCTGGTTACCTCTGTCTAATACTAAAGTTTGTCAGACTATCTGAAACATGTCCCGCAAATATTAAAAATTAACAATACCCCCCCAAAAAAATAGGTATTATACTATAGCTTAACTAAGGCTGGCAGATAACTTAAAATGTTTGTAGTAAATGGTTGTTATTAGAGATAATTAACACCACTCTGGGGTTTCATCAACAGTTATGGTGCTAAGGGAAAGCTACTCTTTATGAGTCACAAAATTAGACACGTTTCCTTAACTAGGAGGTGGGTTCTAAATAAAAATCCTAATGAACAATATATTAAGTACGTTTTTTTATTCGTGTGTGTATTTGGCCAATACGCTGCACTGACTAAAGTTATTGTCAGGCAGAAAGCTAATACAGCTAGGCTAGCTTAGGAAAGTTTGGCTAGCTAGGGCAAGGTTTTTTAGTAATACGTAAATGAAGGTCAGTTACCTTCCACGGTGTTACACCTGTTTCCTTGGAGTCAGGGATGAAACGCCCATAGCGTTTTAACTTCCAAATACGAGTGGAGATCATTTCCAGCAGCGGAGTAGTTTTGTTTTGATATTTTCTGTCAAATCCAACCAGCTATAGCAGAATCCAGTGCCAGCAGAAGAGCCTGAACGAAACATGGACCGCGCGCGAAAATTAACGTCAGCGTCAACTGAGAGGCTTTTTTTTTTAAATAGTCAGAGGTGACAGTAACATTAAAGAGACATGACACTCAGTGCTGATTTGGATTACTTTAAAACACTTTGCCCCAAACCTTTGCCCAATACTTGTGTAATGTCAGTATTACAGTGCAATATATACAGTGGTAAGAAAATGTGGGTTTGCAGGGAGCTGTTCTGAAACATGTGACAGTGTATGTTACAAACCCAAGGTTCAGCATCACTTCCTCAGCAGGAAGCTGGCTCATGTCTCCACATGTGACCCAGCAAGTTTGGAACACTTGATGCTGTATGGGTGTACAGTAGGAGTGTGACTCCAGTTTCAGATGCAGGTGGACTGAACTGCTGAAATGTTCCATTATTAATAGTTAAATGTGTGGTTATAATGATAGCTAAATACTAACTATAATGCATTAGTTCAAGTGCTCCAGTATTGTTGAATGCTGGCTCAGTGACATTGTTCACTGGGATAAGAGCTGGCAATATGTCCTACTGGACTACACATTAAGACAACAGCAGTTTCTATTTTAATTTTGTTTTCTGTTCTCAGAGCAGAATTTCAAAATGGCCATCCTAGCTTGAAAGTAACTCACAGTTTGTGTCTCTTAGATATATAGATACAGTTGTGTTTAGAAGTTTACAAACACTGATCATAGCCATGTGTGTCATGGTAATTATGGGTGTTTAATGATTCCTTTGAACTGCTCTTTTTCCTGGGAGCAATGATTGTACAGCATGCATCTTTAATTACCTTAAAAGACAGGATTTGGTTACACAAGAGTTTAGTTTGGATTTTCTCTCATTTACACAGGGTCAAAAGTATATATACAGACTCAAATATCTGCATACACCAGTGACCACACCCAAGCTAAGGTATGATGTGAGACAGAAGATGAAAAACACAGGTAGGGTTAATAAGATTTGTATTATTGCAAATATTGCATTATTTAAAAATATTTAGAGTTCTAAGTAATGCAGACAGGTTGTGGTAGATTTAAGTTCTCCCCTAGAGTCGGTGTGTAAAGAAGGGGTGCCAAACTCTTAGTTTTGGGCCACAGCCCCATTTGAGCTTAAGTGGGCCGGCTTGAACTTTACCTAATATCTATAAAATAAACACCTACCTACAAACCACCTGATGTGTTTTACCTCTTTCAGTGAGTCAAATATAATTACAAAAAATTGTGCTGTACTACATCAATGAATCCATCAGCATGAGTTAATGGACTTGCACTCTTAAGAAATCTATCCATCCATTCTCTTCAGGCTGGAGCCTGTCCCAGCTATCATAGAGGAGTGTTGGGGACAGTTGCCAATCTGACACAGAGAGAGAGACAGACAACCATTCACACTTACACCTATAGGCAATTTAGAATAAGTAATTAACCTAACCCAACAAATTACATACAGTTGGACTATTGGAGGAAGCAGGATACCCAAGAGAACCAGCACAAACACATGGAGAACATGCAAACTCCACACAGAAAGGCTCTTGTGCAGTTAAACTCACAACCTTCTTGCTGTGAAACAACAGTGGTAACCACTGCACTGCCCAGCTTTTAAGAAATAAAACTGTAAAATTTGTAAAGAAAGTGACAACAAACTTGGACTTTGTTCTAATGTTACTTCACAGAAAATCAAAAAGGAAGTCGTTGTTCATCAATAATAATAAAAAGAACTTTTCTGTCATTTAATGGAAATCCTTTTCTTTTATTTAATGGTTTGTGTTTGTCGTCTTTGTCTTTATCAGTCAGGAAGCTGTAAAACTATTTCAGATGAAATGACTCAGATGAAATCATCAGTTCAGTCTTTCATGATGTGATTTATTCTTAAGGACAAAAAGCAGTGAAAAGTCCAGAATTGTACCTGCTCTGTAATTTTCACAGTTTGCAAACCCACCCATTGGGTCGGCGGGAAGTTTGACATCACAGATGTAGAGGGAAGCGTTTCTTACACACTTTACAAATTGATAATTTATTCTTTTGTTTGCTACAAATTGTATTATTTATCTTTGCATTTTCTTGCATTTTTAGTTAAGTTGGGTAATTAATTTGCAACCCATATAACTCACAGCCATTATTATTCAAAGGACATAATTGTTCCAATATGGAGGATTTTTGAAAGTTAAAGTTCTTAAAAAATAGTGACCTAGTAAATGGTCTTGTTAATAGAATTGTAGAAAGGCACTGCTTTGTATTAGTGTGTCAATTAGGGGGGCTTTCACCAAATGCTGTAGGTATTTGTGGCTAGGATTCATTTCATTTTATTTTATTTATTTATTTATTTTGGGTATTGGAAGTTACATTATGTAAATCCAACATAGTAAAAGAGATTCCATAAATTATAATGTGGCTGTTTTGCATTAGCAAATTGCCTTCTATTTTTCAGTGTCTGCAGTTCTGCAATATCCACTAGAATAGTTGATAAAAGTTTTTTGTCTAAATTTGAATATATAACCTTTCTTCAGAAACTGCTGGCATTGATGTTTCTCAGTTTAGACATTGGGGAAGTGACACAAGATAAGATAATTTGTTAATAGTGAAAAAAGGCTTGTTTAATTAATGTTTTAATCATCTACAAAATATTGCTGATAAAATTTGCTTTAGCTTTAAAAGGCTTTTGTAAGGATGCTGCACACAGCTATCCTGGGTTTGTTTAAGCTATTACAGTAACAATGTAGCTTTTGTAAAGCTGTACCGAAGACATGAGCGAAAGATGTCCTTGCAATGAAACTGTCATACTTGTCCTGCAGGCACTGAAAATGAATGAAATGAGACAGAAAAAAGGAAAACACACACAAAACGGAACACAAAAACAAAAGGACATTCATAATGAAGGCACTGATGAAATTAAAGAATCATAAGGCTTCGTTCACAAGACAAAATCCCTTAGACTATTTTTCTTTCTTTATCATCCTAGGCTGAAAATAAAAGGAACAATAAGCACAAAAGGGTGTGACATCCTACGTGTTATAAATACACGGAATTGGAAAAATAATCTTGAATTAGGAGATCACAGATTTGTTTATTTCCATCTGAGAATCCACCCGTATACCAATAATTTTATACAAGAGCTTCTTACCAAATTATAGACGAGTCTATTCTAGCTTCGTTTGTATTAGTGTGCGCAAATTACGCAGTAGATCGGACTGATTACAGCGATGGCAAGCAGGGTCCTTGGTCTCTTCCAACAGAAGACAACATCATGTTTTAACAATGGGCATGTTGGCTACCTGTAGCCTTAACTTAAAAGAACGGGAGAACATTTTAAGAATGGAGAGAGCTTTCCCCTTTAAACAAGGTGGGCTGAGCTTATTTGCAGTTCTCGCTCCTATGGCAACCCAATAGATCAGCATCATGAATATTCACAATTCACCAAAACGCACCCTGACTATGGAACAGTGATGTCAGCGGTCCCTGGAATGCTTTACTGTATTTTTGCACGATTGTGTTGCGTTGTTTTATGAAAGCTGACAAGACGTCTTGTGAAAAGAGCATCCTTCGTCGTGCATGACCTTTCTCTGGTCTCTGTATCACCGTCCGTCGGCACGTCTCTCACATGCCACGCTAAGGTGACTTTCAGGCAGTTTTTCCACTTTTGCGCACAATGTCGGAACGGCACAAAGATGTACATCGGGGACGCAGTGGCCAAGCGGACCGCCCAGGCTGTGTGTGAGGACATATGCAAACTGTCAGGTAGTCTGATTATGAAAAAGAATATCCCTCATCTGTTTCAGCAGAGCCACGGCGGTCCGTGTCATGTGTAGCAAGCTTTCAGGGATTCAGATTAGCTCCAGACTGATCGCTCTCACAAACAGATAGGGAGCGCGGGGCTTGTGGCAATAACCAGTACAATACAGGCTAACAATCTGGATTTATTTAATATTTCCTGCGTGTTTCAATGTCATAATGGACAGGTTGCACTCCTCCATGCGTAAAAGGCTCTACAGTTTGCCACAGCACATTGGACAGAAAGCATCTATAATGGGTGAAGGAGAAGACGCAGACAAGGACACCCGGAGGAAGAGCATTAGGATGAAGCCTTTACCGTCACCGTCGCCGACCTCTGGAGGAAGCTGCAAAGGCATCGGCGAGACCAAAAGTGGGGAATCTGTGATCATGGAGACGGACATAGGGAGACCTATGAAGACCAGCTCAAATGGAGATTGTCGGAGATTTCGAGGCAGCCTTTCGTCCATCACAAGTCGACATGTGCACGACTCAGACTCTGCGGAGGAGAGACGCCTCATCACTGAAGGCGATGTTACCCCGAGCGAAGAGAGCCCCCCTGGAGCAATCGGTGACGGGCAGCCGGATCAAGGTGCGCAGGAGGCCAGCAGTGGCGCTGGCGGTGGTGCCCAAAATGATTCTCCAGACCAGCAGTCAGGGTTTATAAAGTTGGATGGCATTGATCAAATTCTGCCGGACGACGAGAGATTATATCAGGCTGGGTTCATACACAGACAGTTAGGAGCAATGCTTCAACCAGGGGTCAACAAGTTCTCCCTGAGGATGTTTGGAAGTGAGAAGGCGGTTGAACGAGAACAAGAGCGGGTTAAATCCGCCGGATTTTGGATAATTCACCCCTACAGTGATTTCAGGTAAATTTAGTCACATCACACTTGCTTATTTCAAAAGGGAAACGGTTCACAAAAACATGATGTTACTGTGACTAGGCCCAGATGTTTTTCATGGTATGTCTCATTTACTGGGGCATTCCTCAGCTCAGAAGCCCATTTTTTTCCTTTTTGCTAAATTTTCTACTAACCACCTTTCCACCTTACTCTTTCACATTTAAAGACTGTATCTCCAGTCCAAAACATTCACTTTTAAAAAATAGAATTCTTAGAATGAACCAATTTCACAGAGTAAATCAGATTTTTTTTCCGCATTCATTAGTTTTAGTGTATCGATATTGCTACAGAGGCCTGCCGACACATTTAGTTCTTACAGAAAAACCCATCACATGACACAACCCAGTCCCAATTAGGATTAAACCCTTCTTATATAATAAATTCTATGTAGTATGAAATATTCATTCTTTTTGGAGGTTTCTTCAGCAGTTAGAGAAAATCTCAGC